ATGATGATTTACTATAGCTATTGACTAGTTGATCGCATTAGTTCGAGATGTAAAATGTTAAGCTGCTGCTGAAGATTGTCATGGAGATTTGTTTGAGAATATAGTGATCATTTATAGTTTCTATGTAACTAAATTCTTTATATATATAATGTATAGCAATGGACAAATATATGCCTAGACTAACACACAACCCCCACTAAGCGGGGAAAAAACTCATTAGAAAAGCAGCCTTTTCAGATAAAAGATCCTGTTTAATTGCAATACGTTACATCAGGTTACTTTACCTCTAACGATCAGGGCAGCTGTTAAACTGTCAGATCTTGTTTAATTACAGTGTATTACTTTAGATAACATTACCTCTAACGACCAGAGCAGCTGTAAAACTGTCAGATCTTGTTTAATTACTGTATGTTACTTTAGATAACATTACCTCTAACGATCAGAGCTGCTGTAAAACTGTCAGATCCTGCTGAATTAGTGCCTGTACAGGAATAGTTGGCAACGTCTTCAGAAATAACTCTCTGGATTCTTAAATTACTTGAGATAGAATCTGAACTTGAGATAGTTATTCGTTCGTTGGTCAATAGTTGTTTTCCATCTTTGTTCCACCTAAAGGTAACTGGTAAATCACCTTTCTTGAGATAGCAGACGATTTGTACTCTCGAACCCAGCTCAATGTCGCTTGGAAACTCATCAGGTTGTAACATCGGTGGTTCTGTGGAAGAAGAAATGACGAACTCCTGGTACGTGATATTGAATTTACTGTAGAAGTTTTAGAATCTTTGATATCTGACTTAAAACGAGCCTACAGTTTTCCAGAACACGTTAGTTTCAAAGTTTACGGTCTAGACATGTCATCAAGAGTCGTTATTCTATTCTAGCATTAATTTGTTTGATATTTAGCACAAAAGTACGAAATAGATTATTCGTGCTGTGTCCATCAGGAATAACGAAAGGGGTTATTAGAGTTATAATCCTTTAGACTTACCTCTCAGTCACAAGGGGCATCTTAAAGAAAAAGTCAAAGTTTAAATGTGTGACTTTCATGAACCAGTAACTAAACTTTATAGATTAAAATTGTTCTCATTGTGATGATAATAAACTTTAATTTAGTTGATGTGACTTAGCAGTAGTCCCTATCTGTGTTAACTAGCTGCTAGTGGCTGCTTTATAAAGATTATTAAGCTGAAACCTCATTATTTCAGAAATAAAGAACTTATTATATTTCTAAAATAAAAAATATTTTATTACAGAAACATCGTGTGGTAAAAAACAAATAAGCCATAATGTTTGCTGAGAAACGAAAAAAAAAATTATCAAATTAAAAATATTACAAAATTTGACATATTATGAAACTAATACACAATTATTTACTTACCAACTGCAAGTACTGATGTAAAAAACAGAATACAGGCAGCTAGAGAGTTCCAACTTCCCGCCATTTCCACAGTCACCCACCTTCCCGTGAGGCCTCAGTCTTTGTTGCAGGAAG